ATCCGAGGCCTACGGAACTGTTTCCAAAACGGAATTGTTTCCAAAATATATATTTTGAGGCCATGGACAATTTTCCGCACATTTTTATACAACTTGGAAGCCCATTAAAAATCTCCAATAAAAAGTTGAGAGTCTCAGAGTCTTATAAAATATTATACATAAGCAATAATCTAAAAAGCATCCGAGATCTTCAGAATTTTGTAGCAATTTTTGCAAAGGCCTTTGAGGTTATCAACTTATTATCTATTGGCTTTTAGGTAATGGAAAATTGTCCACAAACAATTTCCAAAAAAAAAAAAAAAAATGAGAGCCTCAAAGTCCTACAAAAATTTATAGATAATTTCTCATACAATTTTTTATGAGGCTCATGGAGATATTTCGATAAATTTTATGGGCATCCGAGGCCTATGGAAATTTTTTCTATAGGTTTTTGGGGATATAGAAAATCTTCCACACATTTTTAAAGTCTTTTGTGGGCCATGTAAATTTTCCAAAAAAAAAAATGTTGAGAGACTCAGAGTTCTACAAAAATTTATTAATAATTGTTCATAAGCCTGAAGTGTCTTAAAATTTTGTAGCATTTTTTATAAACGCTTCTGAGGCTTTCTATTTTTTATAGAATTTTTTTTTCTGCGGCTCCGAAGCCTATAAAAAATTTATAGAAAAATTTTCGGTGGTCTCAGAAGCCACAATTTTTCCCTATGAAGTTTTGAGAAATTTTCTCCCAAATAAAAATTTTTAGCCTCTGAAGCCTATAGAACTTTTTCGAAAATTTTGTTTAGGCTTCAGAGGACTTCTTACAAAAAATTGTTCATGTGCCTTTGAGGCCTATATATTTTTTGAAAATTTTCCATAAGAAGCAGAGGCACAAAGCAATTTTACAAAGACTTTTTAGGACTTACCTCTCTCAGGTTCATAAAATTTTGTAGAAATGTTTCCTCATAAGCCTCAAAGGCCCCAGATATTTATTGACAATTTTTCATAGCACTCAGAGATTTAGTAGACATTTTTTCATTGATCTCAGAGGCCAAAAAATTTTATGAAAAATTCATCAGAGGCTTATAAAATTTTATAGGAAAATTGTCTAATAAAAATTATTAGAACATTTCTCAACTTCCTCCGAGTTAATAAAAATATTTCAGAGACAGATACACCCTACAAGACTTCCTAGAGGCCTTTAGAATTGTAAAGATAGATTTTCAAGGATCTCAGAGTCCTATAAAATATTTAAAGAATTTTTTGTGGAGCTATGAAACTATAGAAATGATATAGCATTTTTGTAAGGGGACTCAGTAACTGAGTCTTAGTCTCAGCCAGGGGCTTTATCTTCTTAACAAAGATTTTATAATTTTCGTAGATTTTTTTAAAACTATCAAATATTTATAAGATACTCGTATGTAAAAAGGACTTTCTGGAAATTTTCTTGAGCCATTGCATTTTTAATGAATTTTCTCATCGGACCCAGAGACTTTAAAATTTTACCGAAATTTTGTAATTTTCCCCAATTTTTTGAAAATTGTCTTTAAGAACTCTATCAAACAATGATAGGTTGTGTAGAAAAGTCCCTCAGAAGGTCTTCTTGCATCCACTTTCCTTAGGCTGAATTCCTTATATTCAAATATTCCCATAGCCATTTCATCTATAAGGTGTTACAACTCAAATTTCCTCACCCAAAATGCCGAAAACACAACCATTAAAAAAAACCTAAAAAGTGCCGAAAAATTTCGCAGAACTACGGTATGCCAACTTCGTTTTTTTTTTTTCACCCAAAAAAAATAAAACTCAAAGTTGCCACAATTTCGAGTCTCACATTACAAAGGCTTCATGCAGCCAAATGATGCGGCAAAATTTTGTGCATGTCCTTACAGAGAGAGGAATGACACAAAACATTAAAGGGCACGACAGCTACAAATAATACAAAATATTTTGTAAATAAGAAGGACTAAGGAAGGAACAACATGAAATTCGCCAGAAATATATCGGCAACGTTAGAGGACTTCAAAGATCCTTTGCAACCATTAAATGTGAGGATGTTTAGAGCAAAGTTCTTAGAATCTCTTGTATGTGAATGTTTACTAATTCTATTTCCAAATATGGTAATCATATGTTAAGGATAATAACACATTGTAGCCCCTGTTTTTGAAAGTATTTTGCAGATATGTGATTTTCTATTTAAGGGTAGGGGAATTTCAAGGGGTTCCATTAATGAAATTGCCATATTCAGTAATTTCTCCCTTTCTCAGCGTGCCTGTTGACTTTGAAAATTTTCTGATTGTAAATTTTGTTGTTAATCTCTTCAGTGTGGTTGTTGTGTTGTCGATGCTGACAGTCTGTCTACCACATGTGTTTGAATTTTGATTTTCTTATTGCCACATTTTCGGCACATTTTTTTTGCAGGCATGCACGAACACCGATAGGCACTCAAGAACTAACAGTGGGTGACTTTTTGGAAAAATGAGTTTGAATGATATTTTTTATTAATTTAAAAGGCCTGTCAAAGCCATGGATGTGGATTTATTGAAGAATATTTTGGATGGATTGAATATCAAGGTTAAAGGAGCGATTTTTTTAAAATATATTTTTGAAAAAGAGCCAAAAAAGTACTTGGCGTGGATTTTTTAAAAAATATTTTTGAAGGACTATTAAAGGGCTTTTTAGATATTTTTCCGAAAGGACCAACAAAACAATAGGCGTGGATTTTTTAAAGAATATTTTTTGAAGGACTGGAAGAGGATTTTTTAAAAAAATATTTTTGCAAAGAACCAACAAAGCAATAGGCGTGTATTTTTTAAAGAATATTTTTTTTGAAGGAATGGAAGAGGATTTTTAAAAATATTTTTGCAAAGAACCAACAAAGCAATAGGCGTGGATTTTTTAAAGAATATTTTTTTGAAGGAATGGAAGAGGATTTTTAGAAACATTTTTTTTCAAAGGACCAACAAAGCAATAGGCGTGGATTTTTTAAAGAATATTTTTGAAGGACTGGAAGAGGATTTTTAAAAATATTTTTTCCAAGGACTATTAAAGCAATAGGCGTGGATTTTTTAAAGAATATTTTTGAAGGCCTAGAAAAGGAATTTTATTTTTCCAAAGGACTAATAAAGCAATGGGCGTGGATTTTTTAAAGAATATTTTTGAAGGCCTAGAAAAAGAATTTTATTTTTCCAAAGGACTAATAAAGCAATGGGCGTGGATTTTTTAAAGAATATTTTTGAAGGCCTAGAAAAAGAATTTTATTTTTCCAAAGGACTAATAAAGTAATGGGCGTAGATTTTATAAAGAATATTTTTGAAGGACTATTCGAAGATTTTTTCAAATATTTTTCCAAAGGACCAGCAAAGCTATAAGCGTGGATTTTTTAAAGAATATTTTTGAAGGACTATTCGAAGATTTTGACAAATATTTTTTCCAAGGACTATCAAGGCAATAGGCGTGGATTTTTTAAAGAATATTTTTGAAGTTCTATTCGAAGATTTTGACAAATATTCTTTCCAAGGACTATCAAAGCAATAGGCGTGGATTTTTTAAATAATATTTTTCAAGGACTATTCGAAGATTTTTTCAAATATTTTTCCAAAGGACCAGCAAAGCTATAGGCGTGGATTTTTTAAAGAATATTTTTCAAGGACTATTCGAAGATTTTTTCAAATATTTTTCCAAAGGACCAGCAAAGCTATAGGCGTGGATTTTTTAAAGAATATTTTTCAAGGACTATTCGAAGATTTTTTCAAATATTTTTCCAAAGGACCAGCAAAGCTATAGGCCTGGATTTTTTAAAGAATATTTTTCAAGGACTATTAGAGGATTTTTACAAATATTTTTTCCAAAGGACCAACAAAGCAATAGGCGTGGATTTTTTAAAGAATATTTTTCAAGGACTATTAGAGGATTCTTACAAATATTTTTCCAAAGGACCAACAAAGCAATAGGCGTGGATTTTTTAAACAATATTTTTGAAGGACTAGAAGAAGATTTTGACAATTACTTTTTCCAAGGACTATCAAGGCAATAGGCGTGGATTTTTTAAACAATATTTTTGAAGGACTATGAGGAGATTTTTACCAATATTTTTTCTACGGACTTTCAAAGCAATAGGCGTGGATTTTTTAAAGAATATTTTTGAAGGACTATTAGTAGATTTTGACAATTATTTTTTCCAAAGACTATCAAGGCAATAGACGTGGATTTTTTAAAGAATATTTTTGAAGGACTATTAGTAGATTTTGACAATTATTTTTTCCAAAGACTATCAAGGCAATAGGCGTGGATTTTTTAAAGAATATTTTTGAAGGACTATTAGTAGATTTTGACAATTATTTTTTCCAAAGACTATCAAGGCAATAGGCGTGGATTTTTTAAAGAATATTTTTGAAGGACTATTAGTAGATTTTGACAATTATTTTTTCCAAAGACTATCAAGGCAATAGGCGTGGATTTTTTAAAGAATATTTTTGAAGGACTATTAGTAGATTTTGACAATTATTTTTTCCAAAGACTATCAAGGCAATAGGCGTGGATTTTTTAAAGAATATTTTTCAAGGACTATAACAAGGTTTTTAAAAATATTTTTTCCAAGGACTATCAAAGCAATAGGCGTGGAATTTTTAAAGAATATTTTTGAAGGACTAGAAAAGATTTTTTTTATTTTTACAAAGGACCAACAAAGCAATAGGCGTGGATTTTTTAAAGAATATTTTTGAAGGACTAGAAAAGATTTTTTTTTATTTTTCCAAAGGACCAACAAAGCAATAGGCGTGGATTTTTTAAAGAATATTTTTGAAGGACTAGAAAAGATTTTTTTTATTTTTCCAAAGGACCAACAAAGCAATAGGCGTGGATTTTTTAAAGAATATTTTTGAAGGACTAGAAAAGATTTTTTTTATTTTTCCAAAGGACCAACAAAGCAATAGGCGTGGATTTTTTAAAGAATATTTTTGAAGGTCTATTAAGAATATTTTTGATATTTTTTCAAAAATTTCCCCAAAATAATAATAAAACAATTTTGTTTAATTTGTAATATATATTTTTTTATTTAATTTTATATTTTGTTTTTGAATATTTTAAAATTCTAATATTTTTCAAAATCCTAAATTCGACACATTTTTCAGTGCCTTGATTCCCTTGGTGTTTTTTATTTGTATCTGCCTTCAAAGTAAGACCCTCCTGCTTTGCCTTATGTGCAAAGCTGGTGAAGATGCTGCTGCCTTAGGTCAAACCCTGCGGCCACTGGCTGATGAATGAAGAAATCCCGCCAAATTTTTGTTTGCTTAGCATTTAAAACGCTGATCTCATTTTCTGTGTTTGCAATGAGATGGTAAAACGCTGACAATACCTCACCCAACGAGGTTGGCTAAATTCATGAGGTCCCTACTCGTCTTGCTGACTTAGAAACGACACCTCCAATTGTTCATTGAGCCAATTGTGATGCTCCTCTTCGGTCATACAACCCAGGATGACAGTGGGAACAGTCGGCTTCTTGATTGGGGTGCTGGTCACTTTCAGGCCGCTATTCGGTGGCAGTGATGATCCGGCTGATTTTTTGCTATTGAAAATAATTTTGCGTACAGTTTTCAATAGCTTCTTCATGCTGGAGGCCGGAGTCAGTGATGATTTGTCCATGCTTTTGCTGGTGTTGTTGTTGATGTAGAAAGAGGTTGAGTTGAAGCTGCTGGAATTGTTGTAGACGGCAGACATTTTGGTTGAATTTTTAGTTTTTTTTTACGGAAACTGGAGCTGTTAATGCTTGCAAAGGCAATGAGCGATTGATGCTCGTTTCGCCATCTAGGAGTGGTATTTATACCCAGATCCTTGGGCCAGGACCTTTTTTGCCAGCAACATGCCATTTCATTTGCTCCTGTGTGCTTTTAGGTGATTTTCTTAATTTTAGGGGTTGATTTGCGCTTCGCTTTTGTCCTGCCATCAATGGTTTTCAGGTCACTCGAATTCAAAGGAATTCTACCTGCTTGTCTTTTTTGATTTGTTGTTGTTATGGTGCATAACCAGTTTTGTCTCTCCTAAAGTGGACCTTTTTCTGGATTTCTCGGTTCTGTCAATTTGTTAAGGGTCTCAAATTGCTTTGCTTTATCTTGGGTTGTTATTTTAGGTTCGATCCCTTTTTGTTCTATTTTTTTCGACTCTCCTTCCAAAAAAGATTTATCTTTTTTTGGTTGGGTTGTTGAACAATTTTATGCTTTCAGGTTATTTTACCTGCTTACCTGTATTTTCGGTTTGCCTTTTCTCTAGATTTTGGTTTTGTTGTTTTTCATTAATTTTTTTTGGTTATTTGGGGTTAAAATATTGCCTTTATGCTGTCCTTTTTTTGTTGTTGCCTTGTCCTCAATTTATTATGAAATATTTTTCAATGACACTTTAATCACTTGAAGTATTTTGAATGCGTTTTTTCTTGGTTGCCGTTTTTCGCAAAATACCATTAAGACAAGAGCAGGGACGTAGTGGAATTTACAGGCCATTTGTTAAGGGCCTTCGAGGATATTTTGACATTCTATAGAAATTTGAAGGATCTGTCAAATATAGTCCTTGAAAAATATTCTTTAAAAAATCCACGTTTATGGGCCAGATAGTCCTTGAAAAATATTCTTTAAAAAATCCACGTTTATGGGCCAGATAGTCCTTGAAAAATATTCTTTAAAAAATCCACGTTTATGGGCCAGATAGTCCTTGAAAAATATTCTTTAAAAAATCCACGTTTATGGGCCAGATAGTCCTTGAAAAATATTCTTTAAAAAATCCACGTTTATGGGCCAGATAGTCCTTGAAAAATATTCTTTAAAAAATCCACGTTTATGGGCCAGATAGTCCTTGAAAAATATTCTTTAAAAAATCCACGTTTATGGGCCAGATAGTCCTTGAAAAATATTCTTTAAAAAATCCACGTTTATGGGCCAGATAGTCCTTGAAAAATATTCTTTAAAAAATCCACGTTTATGGGCCAGATAGTCCTTGAAAAATATTCTTTAAAAAATCCACGTTTATGGGCCAGATAGTCCTTGAAAATATTCTTTAAAAAATCCACTTTTATGGGCCAGATAGTCCTTGAAAAATATTCTTTAAAAAATCCACGTTTATGGGCCAGATAGTCCTTGAAAAATATTCTTTAAAAAATCCACGTTTATGGGCCAGATAGTCCTTGAAAAATATTCTTTAAAAAATCCACGTTTATGGGCCAGATAGTCCTTGAAAAATATTCTTTAAAAAATCCACGTTTATGGGCCAGATAGTCCTTGAAAAATATTCTTTAAAAAATCCACGTTTATGGGCCAGATAGTCCTTGAAAAATATTCTTTAAAAAATCCACGTTTATGGGCCAGATAGTCCTTGAAAAATATTCTTTAAGAAATCCACGTTTATGGGCCAGATAGTCCTTGAAAAATATTCTTTAAAAAATTCTTCTGTAAATTTTTATAGCCCCCGAGGGCCCATGAAAAATTTTCTATAGAATTTTATAGGCCCCGGAGGCCTATGAAAAATTTTCTATAGAATTTTATAGGCCCCGGAGGCCTATGAAAAATTTTCTATAGAATTTTATAGGCCCCGGAGGCCTATGAAAAATTTTCTATAGAATTTTATAGGCCCCGGGGCCCTATGAAAGTTTATCTATAAAATTTTATAGGCCCCGGGGGCCTATGAACATTTATTTATAAAATTTTTGTAGGCCCCGGGGGCCTATGAAAAATTTTCCATATTTTTTATAGGCCCCGGGGGCCTATGAAATATTGTCTATAGAATTTATAGGCCCCGGGGGCCTATGAAAAATTTTCTATAAATTTTTAAAATCCACGTTTATGGGCCTGATAAATGTTTTTTCTTAAATTTTTATAGGCCCCGGGGGCCTATGAAAAATTTTCTATAGGCCCCCGGGGTCTATGAAAAATTTTTTATAATTTTTTATAGGCTCCGGGGGCCTATGAACAATTTTCTATAAATTTTTATAGGCCCCGGGGGTCTATGAAAAATTTTCTATAGGATTTTATAGGTCCCGGGGGCCTATGAAAAATTTTATATAGGATTTTATAGGCCCCGTGGGCCTATGAAAAATTTTCTATAGGATTTTATAGGCCCTATAAATTTTTATAGGCCCCCGGGGGCCTATGAAAAATTTTCTATAAATTTTTATAGGCCCCGGGGGCCTATGAAAAATTTTCTATAAATTTTTATAGGCCCCGGGGGCCTATGAAAAATTTTCTATAAATTTTTATAGGCCCCGGGGGCTTTTTCTATAAATTTTTATAGGCCCCGGGGGCCCATGAAAAATTTTCTATAATTTTTTATAGGCCCCGGGGGCCCATGAAAAATTTTCTATAAATTTTTATAGGCCCCGGGGGCCCATGAAAAATTTTCTATAAATTTTTATAGGCCCCGGGGGCCTATAAATTTTTATAGGCCCCGGGGGCCTATGTAAAATTTTCTATAAATTTTATAGGCCCCATGGTGCCTATGAAAAATTTTCTATAAATTGTTATAGGCCCCGGGGGCCTATGAACAATTTTCTATAGACTTTTATAGGCCCCGGGGGAATATGCTTTAGACGTATTGTCTATATCTATGATATCCTTTTAAAAAAATCTTATGGAATATGAGGCCCTCCATTGACTCTCCCTCAAATCCTCCACTGCTTTGAAATCTGCAACAATGCGTTAAAGCGTTGATGCCAATTTTTTCTCTCGAACATTTTTTGTTGCCAGTACAGTTTCCAATCTTTGCTTGGCAATTTTTTTTCCTTTTTGCTTTTTTCGCAGTTTTTGAAAGATGTTGAAATTTTGGACAGTCTTTTGTGGTTGTTTTGCTTTGGCTTCGAAAATTAAAGATGAGTCGCTTTTGTGGTTCGAGACAATAAAACAAAATTGTGGATGTGTGCCGTTGTTTGTGTTTCTGGTCTTTTAACTCTTTGAGTCGCAGATTGGTTTTTTTATTGCAAAAGATTTTTTTTGTATTTTTGTTTCTTAAATTCAAAAGATTCGTGTCATGTCAGTTTTTTTGTGGCACGGTCTTGATGAGGATCTTTTTTCATTTATTTGTGGAATGGGTTTTAATTTGTTTATTTTTGTTCTTCTTCAATTCTTATTTTGAAAACAAGTGTTAAATTATGTAATAGGATTGGATTGAATTTTTAAAGAGATTTTTTGTTAGACAATAAAATTTGGCAAGGGATTAGAGGAATGTGATCAAGAGATCATGGAATATCCTTTGAAAAAGGACAATTGTTTGGTGTTTTATGGATTTACTTATATTCTATGGAGGTCTTTAATTATATAATTAATTTAATAGACACTCAGCTATGAATAGAAGGATTGTGGAAGGAATATTTTTAAGGACTCCATAAACGAGGATTTTATAGAGGATATAGGTAGATTTTTTAAAGAATTTTTTTCAAAGGACCATCGGACCAATAAAGTAGGATTTTTTAAAGAATATTTTTTTCAAGGACCAAGGAGACAATAAATGTGGAGAAAATTTTTCCAAAGACCTCCAGACCAATGAAAGTGGATTTTTAAATAGACATAATTCCAAGGACCAACAGCCCATAAAACGTGGATTTTTTAATAATATTTATTATTAAAAATATTTGTTTCCATGGGCAAGGGTCCAACAGACCAATAAACGTGAATTTTAAAAGGGTTATATTTTTGAAGGACTATTAGAGGATATTTTTCCAAAGGACCAACAAAGCAATAGGCATGGATTTTTTAAAAAAATATTTTTGAAGGACTATTGGAAGATTTTTCGAATATTTTCCCAAAGGACCAAAAAAAAAAACAATAGGCGTGGATTTTTTAAAGAATATTTTTGAAAGACTATTAGGAGATTTTGAAAAATAATTTTTCCAAGGACTATCAAAGCAATAGGCGTGGATTTTTTAAAGAATATTTTTCAAGGACTATTAGAAGATTTTGACAAACATTTTTTTTAAAGGACTATCAAAGCAGTAGACGTGGATTTTTTAAATAATATTCTTCAACGACTATTAGAAGATTTTTACAAATAATTTTTCCAAGGACTATCAAAGCAATAGGCGTGGATTCTTAAAGAATATTTTTGAAGGACTATTAGGAGATTTTTTCTTATATTTTTTCCAAGGACTATGAAAGCAATAGGCGTGGATTTTTTAAAGAATATTTTTCAAGGACTTTTAGTAAATCTTTAAAAATATTTTTCCGTGGATTATCAAAGTAATAGGCGTGGATTTTTTAAAGAATATTTTTCAAGGACTTTTAGTAAATCTTAAAAAATTTTTTTCCGTGGATTATCAAAGCAATAGGCGTGGATTTTTTAAAGAATATTTTTCAAGGACTTTTAGTAAATCTTTAAAAATATTTTTTCCGTGGATTATCAAAGCAATAGGCGTGGATTTTTTAAAGAATATTTTTCAAGAACTTTTAGTAAATCCTAAAAAAATATTTTTTCCGTGGATTATCAAAGCAATAGGCGTGGATTTTTTAAAGAATATTTTTCAAGGACTATTAGTAGAGCTTTTTGTTTTCAAGGACCAACAGACCAATAAATATGGATTTTTAAGGAAAATTTTTTCAACAGACCAATAAAGTTGGACTTTTCATTATTTTCTTTCCAAGATTCAAGCAGAAATGCATTTCATAGAAGCCAACCACCATCCAATTGTTCAAAGATTTTTTTTAACGAAATTTCTATAGATCCACAGATTAACTTCAGAGATCCTCACAGTCATAATTTTTCAATTTTTATTTTTTTTACTTAATAATACCAACAAATTGAA